ACACACTGGACCTTTAGTTGAACTTAACAAAATTAATCATTTTTTATTGCTTTATTCATCCAGTCATCCATTTTCTGCCACACTGGGTTCCGGTGGCTTTAATTTAATATCATTAGGAATTATTGTCACATACTAAATCATCCATCATATAAAAATGAATATAATAATAAATAATTCTCTGCCATATCGTCCCCACTGGTTTTCCTTCATACTTTATTATTTTGGCCGGTATGATCCTGAAACGAGTATTAAATTTCATTCTATGTAGTACTGAATAAGCCTGACACTTTAATCTGTCACCAGGTTCCCCAAACAATTGGATTGTGAAAATCTGTTAGCAGTGGTTAAAAATTTTAAAGAAACTAAAATTTGCAAATCACAATTATATATTTTTTTATTGAGGAGTGTAGTCATTCAAATTTCTGCTGCGTCATCCTGTCCCAGAATATGTGAAAGGTGTAAAGACAAGTTAGTTACACCACCGACGAAATCTGAACTAATGTCTAATATAGTGCTTGTTTGTGGTCATATGTTAAACTAAACAGGCTTAACTAACCAGAACCTCTTTGTCCCTCGTGTGTCTTGTCCTGTGGCTGCTCAACAGTGAAGTACTGCGGTTTGGGTCTGAAAATCAAAGAGCTGATCGAGTCCACAGGCAACCAGGTCACTGTCCAGTTCATGAGTGGGACCCACCACAGTGGACGTGGATTCTACCTGTCCTACTCCACCACTAAACACACAGGTAACACTCTCTCACCTCACTCACCTGTGTCTGTGTCTCATCTGTTGATCATCCCTAGGTCCCAGCCTNNGGGGGGGGGGGGGGTAGATGAAGGTAGCAGACTAGAATGAGGTTGTCTTGAAGGCATCTTATTGTCAAGCTTGGTTACATTTCTGTTTTGGCCCTTGGGGTAAGAGTTGCTTTGGAGACTGTGTGTGTGTGTGTCAAAGTCTAATGTGAGTCTCATGACAGCTGTTTCATTCTGCACCACCTCCAAAGTTTTAACTGTTTTGAAGTAATTAGATTGTACTGGAACAACTTGTACACAGGTCAGATAATGTGTTGTGAACTGCCGTATCACTGTTGTTGTGTGAAAACGTAATATCTCTCCATATACCAGCTTTGTATTCACTCAAAAACATTCTGGCTCGACCACTCTGCGATTTGGGGTTTTCAGAAGTTTCATACTCCTTCATACTAAGTGTTTGTAGGAATTTCTGAAGCTGTGTTTCATCCTGTGCTAGGGAGGTTTGTTTTTCTATGTTGAAACATGAAATTCTGAAAATTTAAGCTAACAAATGTTTTGACACTGACCCTACCATGATGATACTTATTCAGAAGAAAACACAACATTTCATAAAACCCATGAACAAAGTCATTTAGAGCAGCATTTCATAAAACACAACAATACAGGAAACGTATCGATATTAAAGGTCTTTACGGGTCCACTTCCAAATTATACTCTTTTCAGGCCGGGTGAGGTCCAGTTGTAATTGCTTTGGGTCTTGGGGATGTGTGTAATGTCTAATACAGAAGTGGATCCGAGTGGACTCTGATCATGTGGCACATCATAATCATCACAGGAGAATTAGACAAAGAGTTAGGCTAGAATGCTGATGTGTAGCAAGCATTTTTAACAATCTTAATTTGACTTGTTAGCATGCTAACATGTTCTTATGACTAGGACTAACAGTACAGCTAAGGCTGGTGGCAATGTTATTAGTATTGCAGGTATTTGGTAATAAAACAAGTCTTGCACAAAGTCAAATTTGGATCCTGCCTGTGGCACTAGAGGAAGAATTAATCACCAAAGTCAGAAGGATTAACCATGAATGTCTGTACAAAATGTAACGCCAGTCCATCCAGTAGTTGTTGGGATAATTCATTCTGTACAACAGTGGTGTACTGTCCATGTTACTGTTAGCTGTGGCTTACTAAATGTGTTTTTTGAGGTGAGATGGAGAGTTTTTTGCGTATATTTGGATTTACTGTATGATGGATTGTGTCTAATTATTCTGCGTACATTTAGATTGGTGTCTTTTTGAAAACAACTTTGCACATGTTTGGTTTAAGTAGTGGATCTCTGAACAACGTTTCAGGAAACACATGAGTTTTATCAAATGGAACGGTAATTTGTATCGTTAATGTGTCGCAGTGCTTCCATTACAGGGCCGACGTATATTATTGGATGAAAGACGATTACGTACATTTCCCATTAGTCGGTAGGCAAACAGAGTCTGCAGCTCATAAAAAGAAAAAAAAGAGTAGCAGCTAAAGATGACTTGAGTTGAATGGCGAACTGTCTGCAGTTTTGCAGTAACGATGCTCGAGGCCAAATGAGAGGAGCACACCACATGCCATTTACAATGTGGTGTTTGCTCACCATTGAGAGTGTATTTAAACACACAGAGGAGATAAGATCAGCCGCATATCTGGAATTCCAGCTGCAGTGTGCAGGGTTGTCATACTAGTGGGCATCGGTCATCGTCTCAAATTATTGGTTTTTTTCCCCCCGTTTAATGTGAGAACAGACAGTATTGAATACAGACGTGTGTGTGTGTGTGTGTGTGTGTGTAGATGTACAAAAATAATTCTCCACTCCTACTCAACAGTATTTCTCAGTGTGTGAGAGTCTGGGTTTTGTCACATTACAGTTTTACAGCCCTTCATGTCTAAATGCAAAGTGTGAATTGAGACTTTTTGCAATGGCATGTGGCTGGTAAAAGATGGCAGAGAGGCAGAGAGGAGAATAAGGACAGGTCATTCAGTCAGACAGCATTTGAAAGAGAACAGGAAGTTGCAAGAGGAAGTGAGAGTAATTGAAAGTAATAATATTTTGTGGTTTATTATAAGGCTTCCTTCTTTAATGTCCTATCATATTAGTGGAAAAGGCTGTAAATAATCCTTCAGACATATCTCTTTACGTTAATCTGATAGAATTTTAACTTGTTGGTCTTACGACTGAATCTGCGCCCGAATCACTTATAACATTTTTGTACATAGCACAAGTCTAATTTAAATGCCATCAGATTAATTTAAAGTGTTTTTCATTCAAAACAGTGATTAAGAAAAGTTGAAGTTCTTTGCAGGAGTCCTCTCATATCAGATTAGTCTACAAAGACTATTTTCCCCTCACGGTGTGACCATTGCAAAAGAGGTTAAAAATGCACAATCACAGTAATAATCTGACCAGTGCTCCCGCTTTATATTATCTTCACTTTCACTTTAAGATCTAGCAAAACGCTTTACAAAGCTTGTGCACTCTATAAATAAATCATAAATTAATACATTTACGAAGATATAGAATATGTAGAAAAAAACGCAAATCGTCACATATGAGAAGCTGAAATAGGAGAATTTGATAAATCACTGGGACTGATGATCAAAGTTATCAGGTTCTTGTTGATTGATTTTCTGCCAGTTGAGTTATAGTTTTATCACTATAAGCATCATTTGCATACTTTCTGCAGATCTCTGCAGCCAATACACTTACAAAAGGTGCCAATACATCATCTAAGTTTTAGTACTGATAACAAAATAGCAAACAAACACCAGACATCCGTGTCCTTGCCTTTACCTCAGAGGACCTTTGCATGAATAAAGTGATCTAATCAAAGAATAAGTCAATAAGACTTTAGTCTGACTAAGAATTCCCCACCAAACTTTTGTACATGACATCTTGATAATTGATGGTGCTGACATAATTCATCTCGTATAAGAATACTGAAGCTGTTGTGTGTACCAGTCCATGAGACACTGAGGCACATCCATTAGTCTAAAATCTGTGCATTTTCTCTTTAATGAGGACGTTGTTGGTGAGTACTGTGTGATTACAGTTTTAAAAGGCTCTGCTTTGTCATGTGGAACATTTTCAGTGACTTCAGATAAACAGATAATTGAAGCCACAAGAGGAGGAAGGCAGTGACGTGTGAGGGTAATAATTCTGTCTCAGTGGTCATCTCTGTGCGGGTGAATCACAGTGGAAGGCAAACAAGGCCATCAACGGACCCAAAGAGTTTTGTCCCCCCCCAAAGAACTGATGCGTGTTTTTCTTGCCATGTAACTGATCATGCACATGAGCGTGGGAGGAAAGTTTGCACAGCTAAGTAAATCAGTCACCATGGCGACTTGCAGTGGTTGGGGGTATTTGTCAGTTTGACTCACTGGTTGGTGTACCAGATAAATGGGTTTTTTGATAATGTGGTCAAGACTCATCGAGACTGACCACCCCCACTCGGTTCACATAGAATTCCCAGCAGTGTACGGCATCCTGTTGGACATATGTGGTGTGCCTCATCACTGAAACACACAAAAATATCATAAGGAACCCCCAACACACACACACACACACACACACACACACAAAGGCCCACATACACATTTTTGTGCTGTGTGACTTTGATATTTTTGGATTTGAGCTGAAGTCGATTAGTGAATTGACAGAACATTAATCAGCAACAGTTTTGACAGTTCATTGGATGCAGCTTTTCAAACATGAATATTTGTTGTTTTTCTCAATCATGTATGATACTAAATATCATTTTATTTCTCTTAATTTTAACAACCAAACAAGGAATGAAAATGATAATCTTCAATTTGTATTATTGCTTAATCTGTCAATAACCTTTTTGCTTAATTGATGAATAGTCATTTAATCTATCAAATGTCAAAGATGGTGAAATATGTCCACCACAAGTTCTGAAACCTCAAGGTGACATCGTCAAATGTGTTGTTTTGTCCGACCAACAGTCCAAAACCTAAATACATTCAATTTAAAATAAAACCAGTGGTATCTAAAAACCCAAAGAGATTCAGTTACGATATAGAACAGAGAAAAATATCAAATCCTCACATTTGGGAGGAGAAACAGAAAGAGAAAGGGGTGACGGGTTAGCAGGAGCGTGCGGAGAAACCAGTGCTGACGCTGTTTGTTTGCCTTTTGCAGATCTAATAACCTGCCTGGACAAAGGAACTGACTTCCCAGAGGCAGAGTTCAGGTAAATAATGTTTGCTTTGTGTAGGTATTTGTGCAGTGATCACGCTGTCTGATACTCATCGTGCGTGCGTGCGTGTGTGTGTGTGTGTGTGTGTGTGTGTGTGTGTGTGTCTCTCTTTTTAGTAAATACTGTCCAGCAGGCTGCTTGACATCTACCGAGGAGATTTCTGGAACGATTCCTAATGGATACAGAGAGGTGAGTAGACGCAGTGTATGAAAATACATACAGCATGTGTTTTCTTTATTGTGGCAGCCGCTGTGCTCCAGTATAACGTTTCCAGTTGAGTCACCGTGCCCACTGGTCTCCTGCTGTTTGGTCACTTTCCCCATTGTTACCCCACAGGATCCACCAGACCATCAGCATTTGCTTACTCATGTTTCCATAGCCTCTCACTGCCGCCACTCTTTACTGTGCTGCAAGTCTGCACATCCTTCCTCTCGATTCAGTAAGATCTTGTTTGTGTAAACGGGCCCCTGCTCCTTGGTATGAGAGTCCTGGACTGATGACCTCACAGCATCCCCACTGTGCGTGAGGTCATGGGCGCCGAGTCTCTGGTTGATGACCTCATGCTCAGAGCGTGGGGGTTTGTTGAAGGAGGGAGGGGAGGGGTGTTGCTGGCTGAAGTGAGGACGGGGAGGAGCGTTAGGGTGTGCTTCAGGGAGTGAGATGCCCCACAGGAACAGAGGAGGGGCAGGGTCAGCGGGTGAAAGGGAGGTGAGATAATAATTTGGCCGAAAATAATAACCCTTTAATCCAGTCCAGCTGCAAGAGGGCGCTGAGCGGAGCGGAGTGTTGAGTGTGTGTTCTGGAGACACAAAAAGCTCCAGAGTGAGTCGGTGTGAGTGAGGAGGTGGAGAAAACCTCTGCGTGTATGTGTGCTAGTGATTCATTTATGCTTGTGTTTTAGGGGTGTGTGTGTGTGTCACTAGGCTGTAATGTGGTTACACTGTATCACACAGGGATCAGCTGCCCCACCCAGACCAGACCAAATCTCAAATTTTCAAATGTGTTTCTGGAGTTACTGTGATCCATGTACTGGTTTCTATATTTCCACATCTGGCTTATCGTATATCTATGTATGTGTGTGTCATTTCATGTGTTGGTGCGGTTTCCTCTGTTGGAGGCAGGGTGCGGCGGTTTGGAGCCGTGCTTGGTGTTCATGTTAGTGGTTTGGTATGGCGCTCTTTAGGATGTGGCGTGTGCTTTTGGGAAGTTTAAGAGTCACGCGGCAAGTGTTGATTACTTGTGGCAGCATTTGACTGCCATGCACGTGTGTGTATATGTGCTTGTAACTCTGAGCTTTCCCACAATCTTGTCAGCTGTGGATTCCAGTGTGGGTCTTTTCCAGTAATAAAATTCCACCTCAGTCCACCAGCTGTTTACAGAAAGGAGCTTTTGACCAAAGTGTAATCGGGTTTTTGTCCATTTCTCAGTGATGTGGCGGCAGGTTTGGACAGGAATGCCACCGGTAGTGAATCATTACCATCAGTATCCTCTCTACAGAGAAGTGACCTCATGCTGACTCATCAGCCTTTATCTGCCACAGTCTGAAGGTTAAGAGCTCTGTGATCACAGTACTGGCTGTTTCCGCTGACTTACCTGCAAATGGTCCTACTCTGCAACAGTACCAAAAGGCACCGTTTAATTAAGCCTGCATTTCTACCACAGATACCCAGCTCCTTTTGACTCCAGCCACAAAACTAAACAAATATTTTTAACCCAAAAAGTCCCCACTTCCCAGGTGGAGATAAAACTGTCACAACATGCCATTTTCACTGTTTGACTGGTTACTCAGAAATTAAATGTATGACTCATTATGACTCTTTTTAAAAGTAATGTTATTACTTCACTTCTTGGCTTTAGTTACTGGCACGGTTAGTGTCCCTTAATCTCATCTTCCTTTCATCCTGCAGTCCTCTCCTCTGTGTGTGGCAGCCGTCCACGCAGGTGTGGTGTCCAACGCTGAGGGAGGGAGGATCTCCGTGGTCAGCAGTAAAGGCATCCCTCACTATGAGGCCACACTGGCTAACAATGTCACGTCCACTGGGTAAGAGCTTTAGGCACCACAGCACACTCACTTCTCAGTCAGTAATTACTAAATTCGCCTTAGAAGTACTGATTGATGTGTAATTGATCCTCTAATCCTACGCATCTCTCCTCAGAGGAACTTTGTCGAACAGCCTCTTCACCTTCAGGACCAGCGGTGAGCTCCTTTGTTTTTTCTGAAGCGCCATTAGGAGCTGCAATAGTTTTGCGTAATAAATGCAATTATTATCGTCATCTGTAATTTTAATTGAGTGTGAACCATGTCTTTAATTATTAGTCTGCTGCACTAAATCTGGAGAGAATTACCTGCTGCTTTTAGACACACTTACAGTTCATCACCTGACTTGAAAACTCCAGTGCAGTTAAAGTCATTTACATACAAACATGGTAAAAAAAAAAAAA